AACAGGCTACCACTACTACACACATACACACACACAGCCACTGCCTAAAAGTCTGACTGGCAATCCTTCCTGGGATTTATTACTGAATAACGAACAGTTACCAAACCTGTCTGCCCCATCACAAGACTCTTCCAGATTAAAATGTCTCTCGCCCACTGGGATCCACTCGCCTGTCTAGGACACAAACCCGTGAAGCACCAGCCCCAGTCACAGAGCCAGATTCCCGCTTCGCCTCACGCCACCTCACGCCTCGCGCCAGCCTTCCCACCACTGCCGGCGCAGCCCGCGCGGCGTCACGTGACCTCTGGTTCTGCCCCCCCCGGCCGCGCTGCCGGATCCCCGCCCCAGCGCGCCCGCGGTGTCACATGATACCTGCCCCCCTCTCCCCCGCTAGCCAATCCCCTCCCTCCCGGCTTGCGCGGCGTCACATGGACGCTACTCGCTGTCCGCGGCCTGTTGGTTTGTTCCGCGGTGGAGTATCCAGATAGGCAACACTGCGGCGCCGGCTGAGTCGGGAATGGCTGCTATACTGCAGCGCGTCGAGCGGCTGTCCAATCGAGTCGTGCGTGTGTTGGGCTGTAACCCGGGTCCCATGACCCTCCAGGGCACTAACACCTACCTAGTGGGGACCGGCCCCAGGTAAACGTTCTTCTCCAACTTCCCCAACGTACGCGGCCGGCCGCGGAGTCCGGGCTGTGACTGATCGCGGGTGTGCGGGCAGTGGGGAGCACCGCGTCCTGTCCCTAGCAGGGCAGCCCCGCGCCTAGCGGCCCGCCGGGACTGCACGCAAGACACTCGGCTCTCGAAGCTAGCTAAAATACGACCACCCCGGGTGATAGCTCTCTAATTTAGCGAGAAATGGAAAAAAAAAAAAAAAAGAAAGAAAGAAAGAAACTTCCTGTTTTGAAACCCGATTTACTCTGCTTGATGTTTGAATGCCAGAGTGTGCGTGTTTAAACTTGAGGAAATTCGGGTGTCAAGAGTCCAAGAAAGGGTTTACTTTGCTCACTTGACTTTAACTGGTGTTTTGCCCAGAGTGGAACTTCCCTTCTCAAAAGCGATTATGTTGAGGCGATTTCCTCAACTCAGCAGCAGAGGGCAGGATTCTCTTGGCTTCCAAATTGGTTGTCTGTAGCCTGTGGGATCCTAAGAGGAGCTGACGTAACTAATTTGGAGAAGTTTTTTGTTTCAGTTGTTTGAGTTTAATTTGCAGACACAGTAACACACCTGTATTTCTAAGAAGATACTTTTGCTCTTGTTTAACTGCGTTCTGTTTTAGTGAAATTATGCAGGAATGGGAGATTTGGTTTACTGCATAGTAAGTCTTTGGCATTTAGCAACTTTTGTAGTCTTTACTGGATGAACCAAGAAAATGTAGTGTCTCTTGAGCGTAGAGTTTAATTGTGCAGTCAAGACATGAATAATTTTTAAAATATAATTGATTACTAAAAACGATTTAGTAAGTACAGTTAATTGAGTTTTCCTTGGAAGTGTCTACTGTTTGGCGTTTTTCCAGTAAATAAGAATTTTAGAAGCAGCAGACCTACAAGGTGGGCAGGTAAAAGATTAAGCTCAGAGTAAACAAGGCAGGGTCAGGTAGTTACCAAAGGTTTAGGCTACCACCAGAATCTAGGAGGGTAGAGAATTAAGCAGGAAAAATGCCAGATCTCTAGGTTACAGTCTGTCTTGGCTGGAAGTCCCTCAACCAAGTAAATCCATAGGCGGTCTCTCTTCAGTGTGTCATCTTAAACTAGTCAATACCTCAGACAAAAGATGCATATTATCAGAATTACCCTGGAAAGTCTCTTAGAAGAACACCATGTTGGAGATCAGTGTACTGTCTCAGTAAGTTCAGCACAACCTGCCTTTTTTCCAGCGTTGAAACAGATGGCTGATTCTGTTTGAAAACCAGATGAAGAAATTGGCTTGTGTTTAGGGGCTATGTTGTACGAAAAATACACACTGTATCTTTAAACACTAGAATCACACTCAACATAGCAAAGTGCTAGTGCTAAAAGAGACTTAAAGACTAACTGAGGGAAAAGCAGATTTATAGTCTCCTGTCTTAAATTACTTAACACTGTTGCTCACGTAAATTAATGGAGTGGAATGGCCAGTGGAATTACTTGCACTATGTAAATTATTTCTCCAAATAGTTGAACTAGAGAGTCTGTATAGTTGAGCTAGAAATAAGTGTAGATGATGCTACTGTATACGGTAAAACATGTACAGTAAAAGGTGGCTAGAAATTAATATTAATTGACCTCTTGTCAGATGTTCTGAGATTCGTGTCCACCCACTCCACTTCACAAAACAGTTCTAAGATCACAAGCGGCTTTTGTATCACTAACCTCAATGGTATTTTTTCTGTTCTCATCTTCCTTGAACTTCAATGCTTTGACACCATTGACCACTCCCTCCTTAATTTGCCAACACCACATTCTTCAGGTTTCCTCTTACCTCTCGAGCTGCTCTTTCTCTTTCACCTTGATAGAGTCACCTTCTTTACCAAATCTTTAATGATTTTAGTTATTCAAGATGTAATCCTCATCTCTCATGTCCTTCTACTGTTTTCTCTAGGTGACCTCATCTACTTCTTTGGCTTTACCTTTATTATCTGTTTATTATTAACTACCAAATATATAGCTCCAGTTCAAATTCCAAACTTGATCTTCAGACTAAGTAGCCAACTTTTAAATCTATTTGCATGACTCACTGCTGTCTGGAACTCAGTGTTTTCCATACTGAACTCATAAACTTTCCCAGAAAACTGCCAGGTCCTCCTCCAGTTGTTCATATCTTGGTAAACAAAACCATCAAAGGAAATGCCTAAATACCCTCCCAGACATTTATTTGCTTCCTACTGCATATCCAAGCCATTATGAAGATCTATTCATGTCCCCTGCTACCACTCAGTCCAAGCCAGCACAACTCTTGCTTAGGCTACTGTAATAGCCTCCTAACTGGCTTCTGTACAACTACTTCTGTCTCTCTCCAATCCAATCTTCCCTATGTAGCCTGAGTGGTATGTTAGGAATGAAAATTGGAAGGCCTTGTGTATTCTGACCTCCATCAGTCTTATCGGGCTCCTGTCAAACCTCTCCCATTCCAGCCATGCTGGCCTTATAGTGTTTCAGATGAGGTTTATGATACCCTGTCTCAGGGCCTTCATGCATGCTTTCCTCTTTCTTCCACTCTTCCCTCCCTTTATCCAGCTAATCTCATTCATCCTTTAGAGCACAGCTGAAATACCATTCCCTCATGGAAGTCTTCCCTGACCCATCAGACTGTATTAGAAGCACTCCATACTTTTCATGGTCCTTATCTCAATGATAATGAAATGATTTTTTTGTGCAAGAAGCTTAGTGTTTTTCCACACCTTCATACCCCACTATAACATCAGTTCAGTGAAAGCGTATTCATGGCTATATCCCCAGCACCTAGCACAGAGCCTTATACATGATACAGGTGGAACACTAAATAGTTGCTGAATGAATGAGCATTCTGTACATTTTCTCTTAATTTTCACTATAATGACTCCAAGACTGCTGGATAACTATAGTTTTAGCTAGTCTTCCTTTCTCATCTGATCAGCCCATGGATGCCAAATAAATTTCAATAAAACACTGCTAGACCTAACTGTGATGCTTAGTACATAGGCACTCCATAAGCATTTGAATCAACTAATGACAGCCAAATTGTCCAGTATTTTCACTTTCCTCCTCTGCTCAAGAACCTCTAAAAGCTGCAATTTTAACCTTTCCTATCAAAATTGTACATACTTTGTGGGCAGATAGTGTGGCTGATAATAGAAAAAGGCAGTCAAGTGGAATAGAATTAAAACTCTGGACTCTGGTTACCTAGATTAAAATCCTGGTGCCATTTACTAGCCATATGACTTTGGACAAGACAGCTCTAAGCTTCAGATGCCTGATACAACCCAGTGAAGGTTGTATAGTACCTACCTCATTAGATGTTATGAGGATTCAGTGAAATTTAAGTGAAAAAACATGTATGAAAAGTACTTAAGTTGTAGCACATGGAAAACATACCGTGTTAGTTATTATTTTTATCACTTCTGCTTTCCTCATAACATCTAGACAACACTGGGCTCATAGTAAGTGTTCAGAAAATATCTAATGATTTTGTAAGAGTGACAGCAAATAGAGACCAGTTAATAGCTATCTTAATATTGACATAAAATACATATAACAAGGAATTTGATTCTACTAATTTTCCATCAATTGAACATTTTTTTCTTCATTCATGTAGCAAATAGTTATTGTGTGCCTACTGTGTGCCAGACACTTTGCTCTAGTGAATAAATCGTTCATAGACCTATACAGATTCATCTATTTTCTTGAGCCCTTGATTAGCATAATTTGCATTTGCAAAATGACCTCCTAAGATACAGGATATTATTGTCTTGACCAAAAAGAACAAAGTCAGCTAGCCCATGTAGAGATGATACTATTCAATCATCTATTATAACTATTCACAGACATCATGGTTAGAGTAACTGTTTGCTAAGGGAGAAACTAATAACATTTTTTTCAATTTCAAAACTGTTAACAGTTTTTTCAAATGTATAGCTGAAGTTTTATTTTTGCCACATAAAGAATGATTCTAAGCATTTAACCTAAGCAATCCCCTTCTGCTAGAGAGGCCGTGTTTTCAATGGAGAAGTCACTGACCTTGCATCTGAACATCTAGTGCTTCCCGGCACTGCCTCTTGCTAGTTATATGACCTGGAGCAAATCACTTAGCCTTTCTGAAGACTAGTTTTCTTAAAATAAATAATTAATAAAGTAATAATTCCTCCCTAGAGTTGATATGAGGATCAAAAGAAATAGTAAATATGAAAGCTCCAAATGGTTTAAATTGCTCTGTCAATGTAATATGTTATCAGTGTGACTTTTTTTTTTCCCTCAAAGCTTGTTGCAAACTCATGTTTTAGGTTTGATAGCATCTAGACACCCCTCCTTTGTTCTGAATAGATTGTATTAATTCCAGAACTTTTTTCTGTTTTCTTTCTTTTGAGAGCCCTTCTTTTGTCAATTCCAATTTTGTTAGACCAAGACAGGACCATTAAGAGACCTAAAACTGGAGGCCCAGAAACATGTTCTTCAGTACCACAGTCATATGGTCACTCAAACTTTCAACTGCAAACAACCAGCACAGGCATTCTAAAAGATCTGTTTTCTTTGCTACTAGATTTTATCAAATTCGTGTATCAACCCTATTAAT